TCCTCTTTTCCTCAGCCTCCTGGAGTGCTGAGATTGCAGCTCTCACTGCTCTGCCTGGTTATAAGTGGACCATAACGTAGGTAACAGGTCAGACATTAAGATAAGGTGCAGCATTTTTTTGGGGAACTTAGGTTGGTCTGGGCTTTTTCACTTTCTTTCTCTGGAGAAACCAGGAATAGTAACAAGAAAGTACTGCCTGGCTGCTGTGATCCCCACAGAGCCTAGCTCTGAATGGTTGTCACTGCAGTCCATGTACAGCCCAGGGCTGAGTAGTTGTCCCATTGGGGTTTTTAGGTGACTGCTTCTAACACATCCATGAGGTCGCATGTGCCGGGTGTTCATGTAGTTCTTTGTTGGTGGAGAGTCCATTTGTAGGGGTGAACTCTGAGTTGTAGTAGAGGCCAACATCGTGAAAATCTGCTCTCTTCTTCTTTGCTATACATGCTTGGAAGGAAACTCAGATGTCCACAGAATCTGAAGAATGTGGGCTTTGAAATTCCAACTAATCAAGATGTCTAAACAATGCTCAGAGACTTCACGAATTTTCTTTCTGTTCACAGACACTGAGGAATCGGGACTTAGTGACTTTTCTTTCCCTCTCCTTGCCTGTTCCAGTTTCTTATGAAGTTTGCACAAATTTAGACAAGCTGCCCTGCACAGGGGTCCACGGCTCACTCTGTGCCTAAGGCAGTGGAGTCCTCTCCTCACCTGGCTGGAAAAGCTGATGGGGCAAAACTTCAGTCTGAGGCTTGTGAGTCAGACAGAGGGAAAGATCGAAATGTTATTAACATGAGAAAAATCTTTTGAACATGAAGTCATCATGCTTGAGGTTACTTTGAACTTTCCTCATAGTCTCTTTTATGATTTGTACTAGAATCAACATGCTTCAGCTTTGTGCTAAAGAGCACCATTGAGTAAAATTGGACATGCAGTTGGAATTGCAGGATCACCGGAGACTTTCATACTGTAGAAACGCTGTGCTGTGATAAAGATTTACTTGGCTTGTGGGCTGATTTTTAATGGCTTTTGAGTTCAGGAATTTTGAAAAGTCAGATTCTTTGTAATTTAAATTTCCTTCTAAGCAAGGAAGTACACTATGTTATTAATTTTAAAAATATATATACTTAGAAGTTAAAATTGTGTAATTATCTTAATGCTCCAGAGCTTCTTTTGTGACTAAACATTGGAACTTACTCTGTTGAATGAGGGGAATTTGTCCAGAAAAGCTTAAGGAAATTTAGCCTACGCAGGGAGATTTGCTACATGTATAAATAAAGGTTTAGCTAAAGGGGGGATACACACACAATTTTATTTTATCTATGAAAGATCGTATTTGAGTTTTGACTCTTTGTCCTCTTTTTAGGATTAAGTAATAATTACAGCTTTTGGTAGTTAACTTATAGTAGTAGATTTTTTGCAAGCTGGCTGTAAGTAATTGGACTCACCTCAATTGCACAAAGACAGGTTTTTTTTAATTTACAAATATACTTTTTATAAGTGTAAATGTCCCTAGAGATGGTGTACCTGGAATCTTAAAATAGGAATAAAAGTAATAAAGTATGCCACTCTGTCTTAGAAGGAATGACCTCTCCCATTGGAAGATAACTTTAAATAACTCAAAGTTTAGAATTTTTAGTTGAAATAATTTGTAAATCATGGCAGTGGCTTTTAATCCGTAAGTAGAATTCTCCCTTATTTCTGAGAAGTGTGCATAAATGTTTATAAGAACATAGCCTTGAATATTTTAAGTGTAGCAAACCAACAATAAGGACAGTTTTATGCATGATAACATACATTCAGAGTTGCTAGGTAAAAATGCCTTGCTCCTTTTTTGGAAGAGAATTCTTGTGTGCTTGTGCTCTCGTGCCTGCGCATGTGTGAGCTTTAAACTCTTAAACATAACAGATCTTTGGGACCAGAGTGACAAACCTGTAACTACCTACACTGGATCCCCTGAGTAAAAAAAAAAAAAACACAACCATCAATATATTTCAGCCTTAGTGAGTTAGATGCATTGACTTACTAAAGAACATAAGAAATAATGTCTTAGTTTTTATTGTAGGAAATATGATTACTGTTTGGTAAAGCTGATATGCAGTCAGGCTGGATAACTGTTTTGACTCAGAGACTATAACATGACATGCTTTCCTTCCATGCCTGTAAATTTTTCCAATTATTTTGGATTTTTTTTTTCATTATTTACTATGAGCTCAGCAGTCACGTATACAAAGCCAACAAAAGCAATCGTTAGATGGCTTCATGTACAGAATCTGTTTTATTGAGCAGAAAGGGAAAAAACCCCTCTTGTTTGTAATTAGACTATAATCAGTAAGCCCTTCCATTGGCTTTCATCCATTTAAATATATTTTTTTCTTTTGTAACTTCACACATGCCAAGCGTATAAATGCACTTTGAATTTAAAACAGAACATTTTAGTAAAACTGGAAACTCAATATTTCATTTACTCATAAAGTTTCTAATCGTTCCCGTTTGCTGGGCTTTGAGCCCTTTCTCAGCACCAGGAGGCCGTGGTTCGTGCATATACCTCATCTTGCTGATTCCTGACTGCTCCCTGCTGTGGCCGGTCCGGAGGGGCCTGAGCAAGGCGTGCTTGGAGCTGCGGCCTCCATTCTCTCCTTTTCCCAGCCTGAGTCCATGCTGGGTGGTTTGGAAGGTAACACACCTTCCTGGCACCTCACCTGCAGGCTGGCTCCAAGGAGAACTGTGTGCAGGAGAGCAGGCGGGGGGCTTTGCGAAGTTTGTCCTTTCCTGCCGCTGCTAGAAGGCAGTTGGCCGTTCTCCATTTCTGGCCTCTGAACTTTTCCAGAAATGGTAGCACAGCATGACATTGTATGTATAGATATTTCTCTGGGGAGAAGTTTGTAGCTCTCATCGGATCCGCAAAGAGTCCTCTGTTCTTGAACAGTCTGTAAGAACCACATTCATTAAGAATTGAGAGAATGTGGACATCTGAGGAAAACTGGTAAAAGAAATACTAACGAAGAGTTACAGCAGACAACATTTTTCAATCTATTAAAAATAATCACGACATGGCTGCATGTTGAGTTGTGTTAAGTCAACATTGCAAATATACCTGGCCCATGCTTCAAATATATTTTATTTTGAAATAATGGAAAAATGATGTGTGGGAACTTGTAGCATCAAGGTTCGGAGGGAGGGCTAGATACCCATAGTCTTGATGATAGTGCCTGATTTTTATCTGTTAGAAATTGCTCAGCATGAGACAAAGGAGGTCCATCTGGGGGAACATGTGTGACTGGGTAAAGACAAACAGCAACCTTGAAAGCCCAGGCTTCTGCTTAGCGTTTGTATCAAGAGGTCTGCAGAGCAGGAGTAGTTTGGAAGTGAGAAGCCCATTATTCTCGGGGTGTGTTGAGCACAAACATATTCTTATACATCTGCACAACATTTGACGGTCTGCAAAATGAGCTTGATAAGAACATCCTGTCTGGGTTCTAGCAGTTACTCTAAGGGCACCATTTCTGGCTTGAACAGTAGCCAAAAAATGACTTTGTTGGATAAGTTACCTCAGCTGCTTCTCCTAGCAGCCCTGTAGATAGAGCAGGTTGTATCATTTTTGCTTACAGGGTGGAGGGGGCCACTGCTTATCTAAGGTCACATGGCCCATAGGTAAAGGATTTAGGTCTACTCTTGCATGCTTTAGGTTGACCCAACTAGCAAAGGTAGAAAAACCAAATCTTGATCAATTGGGTTTTAATACAAAAGAGTTGGAGAAGTCGTAAACCTGTGATATTCTCAAAAATACTAGTAATGTGGTTGATGTACCATAGAGAAAGATCTTAAGCCAGTACATCCGCGTGGTCCTATCATGTGACTTTTTCACAGTTTGGTGGAAGGCTACAAAAATAATTCATTCATTTTCTCTCTGTCTCTGTCTCTGTCTGTCTGTTTGTCTGTCTGTCTTTCTCCTTTTCTCTGTCTCTCCACTGAGAGAGAGGGAGAATTGAACCCAGGGCCTTTGCGGTGAGCTACCTCCCCAGTACTTTTTATTTTTTATTTTGAGAGAGGCTCTTGATAAGTCACTAATTTTCCCAGGTGATATAACAAGGAACAAAATGATCTAACTTCCTGTCCACAGAGCAGACCTTTTCTGAGGGGTGACAGATGACAAGCAATTGAGCAAAGTAGTTCCGGACTAGAAAATAGAGCAGGGTGTGTTAGTGGAGAGTGATACTGGGGCTGGGAATTTATTTTACTTGGCGGAGTCAGGGAAAGCCTCTCATGGGATGGTATGGACTTCTCTGCAGAGACCTTAGGAAGGTGCTGGACCCCCATCTTCTAGAAGCTGGAGGTGGTGAAGAAGGGGAAGAGCCTTGTGGGCTGTACTGTGTCCTTCTTTGTCTCTTAAAAGAGTCCTGGTCATTGGATTTAGGCCCTACTGGGTAAAGCCAGGATGATCTCACCTCGAGATCCTTACTTACCTCTGCAATGATCTCCTTTTCATCACAAGGTCATATTCACAAATTCTGGGATAGAATTACAATTTTGGGAGACACTACCATTCAACTCATTACAGGAAACATTGAAAGTTTTTTTTCAATGAAAGAATGATAGCATCCACTGTGTTCTAAAAAGGTCACTCTGATGCTGTGTGGAGCGCGGTTGTAGGTGGACAGAGAATCAACCCAGGAAACCATGTGGGGGCTCTTGGAGTGACCGAGATGAGAAGTGGCGGGGAGAGAGATGGACAGAGGCAGATTTCAGTTCTGTATCACAGGAGGAGAGATGAGCTGAGGATGGGTTAGAAGCAGCAGGTAAGGAAAGGAATGCAAAATACCTGCTAGGTAGATAACAGTGTCCTTCACTGAGAAGGAAAAGACTGGTTCAGGGCCAAGCTGGGACCATGCTGGTGACATCTCTATGAACTCTGAGGAGTGGAGATGTTAGGCCTCAGTTTATTTTTTTATTTTTTGGGTTTTTTTTTTTTCCGGTACTGGGAATCGAACTCACGACCTTTTGCTTGCCAGGAAGGCGCTGTGCCGCTGAGCTAAATCTCCAGCCCCTAGGCCTTAGTTTAGATATACAGATCTGCAGCCCAGTGGATATGTAGCCATGAGTGTTGCCAAAATGGAGACAGTAGAACTGAAAGCCATGGGGCTGGACACCCTCATCCAGGCTGCCAGGGGGTCTTCCTGGGGTGAAGACCTCCACTCTTTAGTCCTTCACTATTGTGAAGGTCCCTGGGCGGGTGTCCATCAGTTGCAATCTCATCCCAAGCCCCTGACATAAATGTCAGAGCCTAAAAGAGAGAAAGGTGGGATCCAGGCCATCAGGGGAGCCTGTGTCCAGTGTCATGGACTATCACAGAGGCCACTGTGTACTTGATTTTCATTTCATTATTACCATTGGTTTCTTTTTAATCTTGCATTCTAAGCCTGACAGGCCTGATTGGCAGATTTGCTGTCTGATTTTTCCAGTTTTAGATTATATGCTTTTTCTTCAAGCCCTCTTCATTTATTAACCTACATTCATCTTTTTAATTTTAATGCACCAATCAATAATTATTTCACTTGACAGTTTTTGACAGTCTGCTGCTACATTTAGCTGCTTAGCATGAATTCAAAAGGTGATCTATCAATTTGTACAAATGGAGCAAAGTTGCTCTTTCTTCCCGTGCTTTGAGGAACCGTAGAAAAATATGCCTGTTTACTATGCCCTGGGGAATTTTTGATGTAGAATACATAATAGCTTTCTTTATAAGAAAATAGAGGACTATAAAGTACAGTTATTAAGAAAATTTCTGCCATGTAGCAATTTTCTTCCAAGTCCATTGGAAAGGCCAGGTTTTTCATGGGGATTGGTATTGTGGAGCTCACCTTTTGTCATTAGACAGGTATTCCTGAGTATTCTTTGTGCATACAGCATTGTTCTAATGTTATGGGAAATAAATATAGAGTCGCCAAGTAATCTGGTGGTCAGAGAAACTAACCCAGTCCCCAAATTATAATGCTTAGGAAAACCGAGAAAAGGACAATTTTCTCTTCCTACATGTCTGCACTAAACGATAATCTTATGTGGAAATTCCAAGTGAAGGGCATGATCATCTTTGCCCGTGTTTGTGAACACACTGCAGTCAGTGCTGATCCCTCGCTTCAGACTTAACAGCAGGGAGAGATGTTCTTTCTCACTAAAATCAGTGCTAAGATTCTTGGCACTTCAGATGGTCTCCTCTGTAGCTGTTGGTTTACATTTTGATAATTTACCAGAGAGCATATAGTATTTAGTTCCGGATTCTGGATTGTGCAACTGAACATAGCCTTCCCAGCGAAAGGCGTGGCAGATGTGAAAGCGAGCCTTCTCCTTGGGAACTAGGCGCTTGATTACTCTACCAAGTCTTGTCTGGGTATGAGATGACCCAAAGGTTACAAGTTCTGGAAGAGAAGGAGAAAAACAGATCATGTCGCTTCTGACGGGAAAGGAGGTACTTCATCTTCCTGCTTCTTTGTGGTTAGTTTTGTTTTCCTTCTTGGGCTGGGGTACTTGGCCTTGTATTTCCTGGCAGGATTTAGGGAAGCAGGTGCTGACCTTCTGGTGCACTCTTGTATTCTACCCTAAGCATATTATTAGTAGGCACCATTCACTGCCTTTTTTTTTTTTCTTTTTTGTGCCTAAGAATTTTCTGACTTCTATACTGAACCTTTGTGTTTCAGCTTAATAGAGCAAGAGTTAGCATATTTTGGACAACACTGATCCTACCCCATGCTATAGTGTATATTTTTTTTGAATACCCAAACTGTTTATTGCACTGTGTTGTGGCAACTATTCCAGTCACTAATTGGCACTATGGTTATTTGGCTGTTGCTCTTATTTACTTTGCTCTGGTGTTTCGATTACTTAATTAAATCGGGTGCCAGTTTCCCTGCTATATAGGCATAGGGAGGCAAACAGAAAATTGAAGCACCAAGCTCTTTGGCTTCGTTGTCCTAAGAAGCACTTGAAATCAGGTGAATCAGGTGAAAATGAGTTGATCCAGAAGAGGGGTAAGTCGTGATGTCAGAGAGGCCTGGCTAGATTCACACACACCAGACCCTCCACCCACAGCCCCTGCTTTGGAGATCAGAGATGGCTTCAGGTCTGTGTTCGGGACTTGCCCTGCTGACTCAGAGGGCTATGCAGCACCTGGACCTGGGTTGCTCGATTATGCCAGTGTCTTAATTCTCGGAGGGAAACATCGCTAACATATTCTCAGGCACATTCTCTGTCTCTGGCAAGCTACATGGGAATGTAAATCATAATTGGAAGCTGCTTTGTTGGTTTGTTTTGAGAAACGGCTGCTCTTTGCTTGCAAGTATCAGTAATAGTCACAGGGCACAATGTCCCTGAGAAAGACCTGCATGGTGCACGAGGAATTAGCCGAGGGTGTGGAGCGCATTGACAGTGGAGCAGGACCAGCCTGCCATAGGAGGCTGCTCTGTTCATCTCAGGAGAAGGATGACTTTTCCTACAGGATCAGGAGCATTTCAGCATTTGACCCCTCTGGTCATTTTCCTAAGGAGGCCTCACCGGCAAAGCTATCTTCTTCCCCAACCCTGTGGACACTGGATTTAATGGCTCTATTCTATAATCCCTGCCTGACCCTCTTTTTGAGGACATCTTCTTTTCTTAAATATATAAATATATTTTATCCAGTTCTGGTAGGGGCAGGAATGGCAGTTGTGCTGGGAATTATCTTCCATCAGTTGACTTTGTAGGGCTGTAGCAGAAAGTGCCCCCACCCCACAGCAAGTATACTTCAGTTTCTTAGTTGCCCAGGTAATAGTTCCTCTTGCAGTTCTGGTTGCTCCTGTCTCTTATAACGGCCGATCTCTGTGATGCACAGCTGGTCACTATGATGCATATTGTAAGAACCAATCCCCAATTAACAAGCCATTCTGCCTCTGTACTTCCTGCTTGCTTATCTCATATAAGCCCTAGACCACCAGAGATCAGGACCTGATATTCTGGGAATGATTTTGATCAGTGCCTGTTAAGGTAAATAAATCTGCCTCCAAATCCTGGGTGCCATTTTGGTGTTTCTGTTTGCCTTTGCATGTTTACATTCTAATTCCCTGAATTTCATTCTTACATTCAACCACCAGTCTCTTTTTCCCATTTCCAAGTTCCTGTGGGGAAGTGATAATCCTCCCTGAGCCCTGGATATGCCCCTCGGAGGCTTTGGGATGGTCACCGGATTATACCTTTGTAACAAGCTCTGTGAGCCGCGTAGTGGCATGGATGAGTTTATCCACACCAACAGTAGATCAACTCCATGGGACAAATCGAATCTACTGCCCTTTTTGCAAATAAAATTTTAGTAGAACACAGCCACAAGCTTTTATCTGATGTCTATAGCTATTTTCGTATGACACTGGCAGAATTTATTTGCCTGTTTTGCAATAGGCCAACAAAACCTAGGATATTTACTATCTGGTCCTTGTCAGTAAATGCTTGGCAACCCTAGTCTATACCTTTGCAAGTCATGAAGTTGCAGCAGAGAAAACCAGAAGCTCCTCCTCTCCTGCACCAACTGACTAAAAAAATGGAGGGAAACAGAAGGGATGCAACTTGCCCAAGTTTACAGAGCCAGTGAGTGGGAAAGCCAGGGCTTAAGCTCAGCTCTTCCAACTCCTATGATATTATTTGTCTCCTGCTTTTGGCAAAGGAACTTTGCGAGTTCTAAATCTTACGGATAATCAGCCATTCCCACACTGAAACACAGCTTCTTTTAGGGATAGTAGCACTTTCCTGAACTGACTTCCCCAGGTCAGATTTATTAATTTTATTAATCTCATTTAGTAATCTTAGTAGCCAGCTTGGCATTGATATTCATTTATTAATCTTACAGACAGTACCTCCCACACGTTAGGAATGGGGATAAGTGATAGGGATTCAATGAACAAGCCCCAACCTTGCCCTCAGGAAATCTGGAGGGAGAAGAGCCTTCCGGTATCTCCACATCCTTTGATTTGCAGTGTGTTCAGTGTTATGTTAGGGTGGAATGCAGGAGGCTCCCATCATGCCAGGAAAGACTATGAAAATTCAGCCTTGAGCAGGCAGGATGGGGTCAGGCGTGGCTCCTCGGTGTTGTACAAGTTGAGTTGTGTCTTGGAGTAGACAGAGTTCTGAAGGCAGAGAATTGCGGCAAAAGGGCTGAGACTCTCTAGACATGAGTGAGCCTGGTGTCCTGGAAGGATGTGGACCTGGAGCCTTGGACCTTCTTGTCTACCAGGACAAGAAGTAGACAGAGTATGTAGTGAGCCGAAGATGGAAGAGATACAGGGGAAGTGGGTTGGAGACAATTGTGAAGCCCATGACATTTCTTGGAGAGGAAAAATTTTACCTAGTCTTCCAGAGGTTCTAATATGTTCTTTGAAAAAAGGATCCACACATCCACAGATGAACTGGGCATGTGGATTTACCACTAGTGCAGAAATAGGAGCTTTTTTTCAAATATATATGCCTGAGATTGTGATTCCTCAACCAAAAACCTATTTAAAATATTACTAAATTATTTGATTATTGTATATCTTCTTGGTATGTTTTGATCATTGTATATCTTCTTGATCAATAGAGAGTAAGGATCAAACATCTATGGCTCAAAGTCTGCAACTTTTTTTATTTCAAATAAAATTGTGGGGAGTTGTTCCTGTCGGCAGCAGAAGTCATGACATTTTTTGAGTTGACAAAAAGTATAAGGTCCAGAGTCAAGCTGCTCTGAATTTTACTAGCTACGTGAATTTGAGCAAGTTATCTAATGTCAGTAGTCTAAGAGTCTTTATCTCTAACATTAAAATAATAATTATTTTATTCTTAAGATTGCTATAAAGTATGATAATTTATGAAAAGCATGTGGTATGGGTCAGGTACAAGGGATGTGCTCAGTAGTATAAGCCATTTTTAAGTTTTAAGTTTGCGTGGCATGTGCAGATGTTTCTTAGAGCTGGCTCAGTGAGGAAGACGAGTTTCAACAGGAAGCTGTTTGACTTGTTTTTATCTGAGTGAGAAATAATGGGGTCTGGGTCAGGGTACTGAGAGAGGGAATGTCCACTTCAGGTGATGGTCTGGAAAGTGAAAGCATTTATATTCTGTTCATGCCCAGAGAAATAGAAAAGGCAGTGAAAAGAGTTGCATGAGACCCGGTTCTGTGACTTTCTGGCACAGAATAGGTGAACTATCTGGCAAAGTGTATGGCTTGTAACTTCTGAGATTAATCTAGGTAAGGAGGTACCCAGGGTACCTTTTAAAAATTAATTTAATTAATTATAAGCCCTCATCAGAACATGAGAAAATGAGTTACAAAGTAAGTGTATGGTTCCTTCATTATAGGAATATGGCCCTACACTTTAACTTCCACCTACAATAGTGCTTTCATAAAAATACATGCATGACAACATATAATATATCCCACATGTTAAAAAATTGTGTAACATGGACATTTTATTAAATACTCATATATCTGTGCTTAGACAGGATAAATGGTAAATGTTGAGCTGGGATATTTTTATTTACTTTGTTATTTCTATAGTTTTTAAAATGAATATATTTTATTATCATGATTATTATTAATTATTATTATTATTACTATTATTATTATTTTGTGGTAATGAGGCTTGAACCCAGCACATTCATACTGAGATACATCCCTAGCCTTTTTCTTTCTTTCTTTCCTTCTTTCTTTCTTTCTTTCTTTCCTTTCTTTCTTCTTATTTTTAACTTAAGATAGGGGTCTCATTAAGTCACTAAGTTGCCTAGGTTGGGCTCTAACATTCCATCCTCTTGCCTCAGCCTCCCAGAGTGCTGGTTTACAGATGTGTGCCACTATATCCAGCTATATTATTATTACTACTACTATTACTATTACCATTACTATTACTATTACATTACTATTATTTTTACTAGGCAGTCCTGGGGATGGAACACAGGGCCTTGTTCATGTTAACCAAGTGCTGTAAGACTGAGCTACACTCCCCAACCCTATAGATTTTTTTTTTTTTTAATGGTAGCACTATGGAAAATACCCACAGAAAGGAATGCATTGGAAAAGTAAGGGAGTTTGCCCTCCTTATTTTGGGGGAGCTGTTGTGCAGACACGTGGTGGAGGGTGCTCTCCTCTCTGCATTTCATTTCAGTCAGCTGGTGCCCTTCTAAATCGGGGAGTACGGGGGCTGACTCGGAAAGGTGGGTGGTAGTGAGAAAGGAGAGTAGCAGTCGTATGTGCTGCTGGGACCAGTCAAGATCTATTACATTTGATTGAATTTTCAAATGTTAAATTAGAGTCTGGGCTAAGGCTGGAACATATGATTCATCACTTCTCCATCTGCAAATTCTCACCATGCGGGTGTGTGCAGGAGTACCCTGCCGAGGGGCGGACTCTCACCTGAGGCAGCAGGACCGCCCATCCAGAAGCCCGGATGGTGAGTCTGCTCCTGTGACTTCCTTTTGTAATTGACTAAGTCATTAACCTCCCT